TGTCCACGTTAGCGGCGTGTGTCATGAAGAGATCTTCAGCAAAGCCCGCGACGACTTTACGCTCTCGACTCGTGAAAATCGTTGTGGGCTCGGCTGCAAACGACTCGTGACAGTGAGCATGTAAAAACTCGGATGTCGTTGCCACAGCCGATGGTCAGATCTTGGCATCATACCATGAGATTGTATACCGTCTTCGAGAAAGTAGAGATCCCAGCAGGCATTGCCGTTCGGATACCTCCCTGGCCAAGATGGATTGATCAAATCTCGCGCACGAGTGCATTTACCGTTCAAGATAGGGACACATCGGGCAGTAGTAAGTGACGACTTATTTTACTTATTCTGCACCATAAAATGTGAAGTCCTTTTTATCTATTTTGGAGGGCGGGTGTGCCCGAGGCAAAATTGGGGTGTGCCCCAAGCAAAAGTGGGCACACCCCTAGTCGTGGCCATATTTGCATGGCGAAAACTTTCTCTGGCTTAAATATTAAAATTAAGGAAGTTTTTAATATATGGCCTGGGCCCAACATGGGACTCGAGATTTTTATTAAGTAAGGGCGATTATGAAATGAGAGATTAATAAATTACGGAGACTCTACCGTAGGACGCTCAGCATGATAAATATCAGCTGCTTCGTGGCGACTCTGTACGTCGTTCACAAACGGCTACGAATTAAGCAAGACCAGTGCAAATCTGATGAACCATCCCTTTCCCGCAGGATGACAGACGGCTTAAATCAAGAATACCTGGTTGAAGTTTGATGGAGTATCCGTTTTCGCAAGACGACAGACGGCATGAATAAAGCAAGACCAGCATGATCTCAATAAACTCTTCCTTTACGCCAGCCGACAGCCGGTTTGAGTGAAGCAAAATCAGCATGAATACGATGGACTATTCATGCCAACGAAACGAGAGCCTGCATGCCTCTGGAAGTCTTTTAATACGGCGCGTTGGGGTCAAAACTCCAGGCGATTTGTTCGTGCAGTCACTAAAAGGAGGCAGAGAGAGAGGTCCACGCTTTTCTCATAGACTTACGCAAGAACCTTACACGACCGAGTTCACGAGCTCTGCAAATTCTACTCGATTCACGAACGGTAAAAAGCCAGCAAACCAAACTGACAAAGAGGGTCAGTGGATTGTCCTTGTTCTCCTACAGCACATACATATGACACCTCAATGATGTATATTCTATGAGAGATATGTAAGGCCAATCGTTCTGACCGTGCCAGACTTTCAGACCAGACTTGCTGGAACTCCTCTCGTCGTTCATTCTCTGTGCGTCAATAGGTCCGACGACGCTGGTCAAGTGATGTCGCGCATGTTGTGACCTACTAGGCGATGACATCGAGAGCCGCACTTTTTCCGCTTTTGTTCTGTCAGGTACGCTTCGTCTAGCTGGAGATACCTCGTCTAGCTTGGCACAGCGTTTTCGCATCGCCCTCATGGTGCCGCTAGGTATATATGCACGTTTGCTAGATCGCGAGGTTTCTTGGACACTACAGGCGTAAAATCTAATTGAGTATAACGTGTGTGACACCCATGATTGTTCGACTCTTGGCATTCCCCACACATGGATTTATGCTGATCGGTCTTCCGCTCGCTATTACTGGATGCCCGCTAGCGTTATATCACTCTAAGCGGATAGGGGATTCAAACTCGTGATCAACCGGTAGCAGGAATATGCAAATTGTGCAAAACATGGTCGAGAACCCATCAAATCCAGCAGTATCAGTTTTAGAGGCACACGCGCCCGCGCTTTGCTGTGCGCGAGTATTCTCTTCCTCTGTACATGCAGTCCGTTTTTGCAGCACACTGCCATTCTATCTTCAGCCAAACAGATTTGTTTGGTACCAGTCCCACTGCTACAAGCTTCTGCCAGCTTTCTGGTCGGGAGCCCATCGACTATCCTGCTGGCTATCTTGCCACATCAGAGCTGATGGCCACCATGACGTGACTGGGATAGGGCACACTAATAAATGTCTAGCGTCATTGTTGACTCCGCTCTGATTGATTTAGCCCCTTGTACTTACGCGAAAGAGTGCAATTCGTCGTCCTTTCTTTTGGAGAACACCGTATGAGCCTATCTGCGTTTAGCCCGGATCATCAATCAGGTGCTAGCTATGTACACGTGACATGTGTGCGTGGTAGCGACCATCTGTTTATCTGGATAGAAGCCAGTTTTATTGACGAAGGCAGACTCGCCCTTATATCTGCGACAATCCTGTGCACGCCCAGAATAAGGCCGGACCAGTTCTCGTTGGGAACGGAGAATCGAAAAAGAACATTCCTGGCATGTCCACACAAATAGCGGCCGAAGGCATCGCGACGGCAATTGTCTCTCATTCTGCAATTCGCCTAGCAGTGCGCTAGTCCCATCATGCGCTTGCTCATTTACAGGCTCACAGTTATGGCGGTGTTTGTTGCAGACACTGCCGGATCAACAATCACTGGCGACGAAGAGGCTAACGGCGCTGCTGGCAGCACGCCCTCTGTCCTTTCTCGCACGAACGTGACCCTGCCCGTCACGTTAAGGACTGGGACGTCACACGACGATGCCGGAATTGAAACCGATGATGAAGGCCAGCATGATGTAGAGGAGAGGACCGTGGCATCGTTGCAACAAGTCGAAGAAGCCGCCCCCGCATTGGTCGATCACGTCGCAGCTCTGCTCAAAACGGATGATGCCATTCTCAGTCCCGCCTCACAGAAAATCACGAAGGAAAAGGCGGTCGAGGACGAGCTACGCGACCTATCCGAGACGCTGCAGAAGGAGGAGGGTGTCTGGGATTACAAGATCGTGGCTGAGTCTCTTGTCAGTACGGAGTCTCGTGGACAAGAGCTTCAAGCCGAGGTTGAAGGGGCGGTCAACGCATTGCTTAAGCTTCGAAAAGATCCTGGCATGAAGACTCACGCCGACCGCATACACCGGGAGCTGTTCTTCATGTACAGAGAAAGACTGGATGAGTCGCTGGTCAAGGTCTATCTAAACGCGAGGGTGACACCGGAAGAGTTTCTCGAGATGATGCGGATGGAAAAAGGCGTTGTTTATTACTCAACATGATCTCCATGGGCGTGACAAGATGAGCGAACTTTCAGACGTCGTCGGTTTCCTAGAAAACTATGTCAAGAACTATCACAGAAAGTATGGCTACACGAGTCAGAAATACGAGGGTCTACATAAAGACGTGACGGCCATGTATACGAGTAAATACTCGCACGAAGAAAGGGCTGGGACGGAGAACCTAATATACGAGTGAACGATTTGAGCGTTGCCGGAGCGAGAGGTTGACTATCTACACGACGAGCCAAACGCAGCGCACGTCAGGTCCTCTTGCAGCACGTGGGAGCACAGTCAGTGAAGGTATTAGCTATACATGGTCTTTTTCGTAGCTTCGTAGAAGTAACGTAAGATATAGTTTGCCTAACCACAACCTTTTGGTAATTCCTCCGCTTGTTGCCTGACTGTTCGATAAGAAACTAGACGGAAAGTGTTAGCATTTGGTGCGCCGGTGTCGTACGCGCCAGGCATTCAAGTAGAATGACTACGCTCGCAATATGACACGATTGACCAAAACTAACGTGGAAGCTGATTAGCCACTCAATCATCGAGCAGAGAGTGTGCTATAAACTCAATGCCCAAACAGTAGTACGGATTTAACGAGGTGACCCCATTTTGCTTTATCGTAATTTGTATGTCAACGTAAAAACTGCCCAAATAAATGGCTTCCAAATTATTATCTTGAGCAGATACTTTTAAAATATATATATCGCGCAGGTAATACTTACATAGTCAATTTGGGAAAAGTTGGCAACACATATATCAACGAAATTAGAATAAAACATAATACAGCCATAAATGGCTGGGTGTCGCGCGAACATATAGGAGCAAAAAAATCATTCTTGCTTGTATTTTCCATGGCTGGAGAAAAAATCAGCTAATTACAGAAGGGAAACCAATCACAAGATACAAATGCTATTTTTTAACACACTATAGAAAAATGCACACCCGATGGTCACATAAGAAATGATGCTACACGAACGTATCTATCTATACAACCGATAATACACATTTGAAGAGCACATAGATATAATTTTTCCGATGCTAGTTTGCAGAAATATTTTTAGGAAATTGCTAAATTCACACCCCTTCTCCTTAGATTCACACCCTTCCTTCAAAATCTTACATACAAAATTCCTATTTGTTATAAGATTTGATTTCTGACAAAGGTATTACTCAATAATCCAGGCCATTAATTGGCAAGTAATACGTAAGATATACATAAGATACTACTCACGCCTGTATCTATTCACAAATGTCAGTATCGATAAACTTGTTCTGGCAACGATAGGGCGCGTGGCTCGAGGCGCATATATCGGTCATGCGCGGGCAAAAAGCCATACAAGACGAGCAAATAAAGCACACGACAAGCATCCGACGCCACCGTGCCGTCTGAAGTAACAAATGCGCTGGTCAAGAAGTCGATCTGAGCTTTGCGAGTTTTTTTGCGCGTGTTTAGATGGCCTCTGTCCATGCGCACAGTGATCCAATTTCTGGATGACACGAGACGAAACGAGTTGTGAAACGTAATCAGAAGAATAAACGAGAACACACAGCAGCATTTGTGACAGTGTGTAGCAATTGAAGTGGGAACATGCAAAATGTGCGCGACAGGTTCAATGCGCACAAGGGTTGCGCTGTAACGGACCGAGCGACGTCCACTGCATCTATTAACAAAAAACAAAGCTCATGGCAACGTCAACTGCTTCGATTGCGACAGCACTGCAGCGACTGAGCCGTTCGTGGTCAGGTCACACAGGTGAAGATGGACGGAAATGGCCATCGAATGCGATCGCTTTGTCTGCAGGTAGTAGCGACTCTCGTACAGATCAATTACTCTGTAGTGTATACAATACACATAGCAGCACATGCGCTTCGTATGTTGACAGCTACGTGGTGTAGTTATTGAGATAGGTGGATAGTAGTAGTGGGATAGATAGATAGATAGATAGATAGATAGATAGATAGATAGATAGATAGATAGATAGAGAGAATTTGTGTGACGACATCTCAGCTCAGACGTTTTGGATACGAGTGCAACAAATGCAAGCAGAGACTGGTGATCCGGTCAAGTGCATGCTGACCACCTCGAGAAGGAATTGGTTCCTGCATTCCAGCTAATTAGTTGTCAATTTGCAGCATGTGAACAAGTAAGCGACAGTGTCAGTTCGTGTGTATGTATATTCGACGTCATCTTTTTACTGCGAGATACTGACTCGACCTCAAGATCAGTTTTCTGCACGTGCTACAGCACTTGTCTATCCATGTAGATAAGGTCTCGGACCGGAGGCGGAGTTCTGCATGAAGGAGCGCCTTGCATTCTCAACTTGACGGTCCGAAGACCTCGTGAGCCTTATCTTTGTAGCAGCAAAGAATGCAGCAAAACACTCGCTGACACACCTTACCGAGCAGCTCATACGCGCTTATCTCCACATAGCCACAGTCACTTGCTGTACTTGTGCCGCCGAAATGAACGTCTCATGAGGAACATACGGGTAGCACGGACAATAGAGAGGCAGCAAGGAATTCAGTTGTGATCAACTGTCCTCGAATGAATCTTTGTATCGTGGCGTTTACGCTTGACGAGGTTATGTTCCAAGTCACGAAGTACCCAGTGTCGATCGATCATACAGAGACAAGGGCACAGAGATGACCGTGCAGATCAAAGCAAAGTTCGAGATGGCAACAACGTATAGTACTTCGCCTCGTATCAAAAAGCGTATCGGTTACGATGTCATTGATCTACTGTATACATGACCGACAGTTCCTACTTCCGTATCCACGTTGTGGTGGCAGTGATCTTTGCCTCACCAGAAATAGGCTAAAACTTCATCGTGAGAAAAATGTACACTTTGGTCCTGCGTGTGATGGTCACCGGCGTTTGTACTTAGCTGGAGACAGTACGTTCATGTGGAAATGTAGCCGTTTTCTCCACTCAAACCTTAGCTGCTCTTCGTCTCCGTGATGGAAGTAGATGCGGGTTTGTCATCGGTATCCGCTTGTTCGACGTTGGCCTCCTGTACATCGACAGCGCCCTCCAATGTAGCGCCAACGTTCGGCTTCTCCTTCTCTACAACCGTCATAGACTCGGCAACGGCTTCCGTTTGCGCAGTAAGCGTCACAGCTATAGCCTCTCTAGCAACGTCAGACGCATCGGCAGAGACAGCCGTCTCGCCAATTGCAGCGGCTTCTGCAAGCTCAATTGAGTCAGTACCCGTCTCGGTCTTTACCTTATATATAAGATTTTGAAGGAAGGGTGTGAATCTAAGGAAAAGGGGTGTGAATTTAGCAATTCCCTATAATTAAAATTTTGTAGACTGCTAATCTTTTGTCACCGTTATTGATTTAGTTGTGCCACGTAACTCGTTGACACGATAAAAATCGACAGAAAAACATTATATCTACGATTCGAGCATCCTTGCGTAAGTTCCTAGCACGTAGAGCGTACATCCTTGTACTGTAGCACAATTGAGTGCTCGGATATTGATGTATGTGTTCGATGTGGGCCGTTGTACCTACGTCAAAGCGCCATATGTCCAATGTGATGTGGGGATTCAGTGGAAAACTTCCTACCTACTTACATCGCTGACAAATCGGTGGCCGGAGAATTTGAAGTCGTCAAGTCGAGGTTGTCGAATAAGAGGTCGTCGCACTCGAGGTCATCGAACAAGAGTTCATCGAATCAGAGGTCGTCGATTTTGAGGTCATCAAAGATAGAGCGTAATTTACAGTGCGAGAAGATCGACGAAGATTAATTACATTTAGTTTACGTACAAGGAAAAGTAGAAGAATAGAGGACCACTCAACGGTTTAGCGATAGGAGACGAGATACACCAATACAGTGCAGAATTTGAAGTCCAAGACACGCGTACACTTAAGAATAGTCCCTGTGTGGGATAGATTTACCTGCCGTCGAACCTCGAGAGGCATAACTTGTAGAGGTATCGACTAGTAGCGCCAATAGTTACGGAAGGCCCGGGTCGGGCAGCGCTCGCTACTAGCGAAAGAAGGAGTATCGTCGTCGACGAGCCGGTTAACATCAGTAAAGGGACCGTAGTGGGTCTCGTCAACGACGAGCCCGAGAGACTTATGGTATGGACCCGTTTTCTAAAGACTTTTCTGAGTGACGAGCCGGTAGGCCTCAGCCGAGGGTACCGTAATTCTCCTAGTCGGACGTACACTTTGCCCGATGACCTGTCAAAGTGCATACTGCGTCGGCTTTCACCCGTAGGTGTGAAGTCACAGGAAGAGAGAGGTTTAGAAGATGCTGAGCTCAGGCAGGATTCTACAAGATGGGTTGGAAGGAATCAGTTCGGCCCGAAGGGGCCAAACGCGTAGGGATTTATCCAAGCGTACCAGCCCTTTCAGCCCACATAACTCGTCGATTGTTGTGTTTTACGTTGAGACTGTAAGTAGACAGATTTAGCTAACTACTGTACCACAACTTGTGCCGCGACCCATAAATTCAATGAGTGCTATTGTTTAGCAGGTACCAAACAACTAACTACGAGCAATATGGTCACCCATTAGAGCCTAGCGAGAGGCGGGATCTTAGCGACTGCTGAAAGATCGTCACGCGCTATGTCAAACCAGTCGATAATGAACTATGCCGAGGTGACGGTGGAAGTAAAACGAGAATCTGGAATCGACGTGTTCGAAGAAGATGGCTATGGGAAGAAAGAACAAGATGAAAGAGACGGGCACAAAAGTGGATGTAGTACTTAGGGAATTAGAAGAAAAGCGTGTGCTACACACGGGGCATAAGAATTACATACAGGCTATGAAGGTGAATACATAAAGGCGGTGAGAGACTTCGTGCAAGCTATGAAAGGAAATGGCGATGGCGATAAACTGAGAATGGGTGTAGGTGAGCTTCTATCGGCCATCCTCAGTACCCTAAAAGGAATCTCTACCCCCAGGCGAAATTGATCCTTTATCGTATGGCTAAAGAAATGAAGAAGAGCAAGTGGATCAAGCAATTCAACATATAACGGTATACCCAA